CATAGACCCAACTGATCCTAATGCATTTACTTTATTTCCACTGAAAGTAGCGGCATCATTTGTTCATGGCTGACTATATATCATAATTTTCTATCAGGAATTGGCTTATCTTGAGAAAAATTCTGTGTGGGTGGAAAGCCACCTTGAGAAATGGTGACAAATATTTATTTTTTTGACTTAGAATTACTGTTCACCTACTGCCAAAGGTTTAATCAAAATGTTATGTGAATCAACTATGGAAACTGTGGTAGCAAAGATGCCTATCGTGTGTGGGACCAGACAGAGTCTCATTCCCTTGTGCATACATTTGGGAGTAACTCAGCGGCTCCTAACAATGTGTGAAAAATCTAAACATATTAATTTACAGGGATTTGCCAAGTAGGTACAGAAACCAGGATGTCAACCCCCAAATAATGCCTCAAACGTGGAATTTGGTGTTTGGAGTATAACTGATAGTCATCTTAATATTTTTAATCAGCCCAGCACTTTTTGTTGGAAACCTGGTGGTGTAGTGGTTATGGACTGGGCTGCTAACTGTAAGGTTAGCTGTTCAAAACCACCAGCCATTCCGCTTAAGAAATAGAGGGATTTCTAGCCCCATAAACAGCCTTGCTATCAAGCAGAATGCATTAAAATACACTGTTGCAGATGTAGTTAGTTTAAAATTTAGCACTCTATCATTTGCTCTCCCATTTAATTTGTTCCAGTTTTTAATATTTCTGAATATTTTTCTGCTTTCTTTTCAAGAGGTTTTTAGCTATTTTACTTTGTTATTGTTTTTAGTTTTGGGGGGTTTAAAAAATGTTTCTTCTGTATATGAAATTCAGGATAGGTAAATGTATAAAGACAGTAACTGGATTAATGGTTCCATGGGGGTATGACAGGAGAGGTTGGGGGATAACAGGGAGATAATAATGATGAGTACAAGAATGAAGAACATGTTCTAAGACTGATTGCGGTGATGATTGTACAACTTTTCTTGATGTGTTTGACCTATTGAGTTGTATGATATGAGAATTATATGCCAAGAAAACTGTTGGGGAAAAAAGAGTTATAGTCTCGTAAACCCACAGGCGCATTAAGAGTGGGAACTGACTCCAAGGCAGGGAGAGTTTGGGAAAACTTTTCTTTAAGAAGCTATGCATTTTAATTATGGTGTTGGTAAAGAATATTGAAAGTAACACGGACTGCCCAAACAACAAGCAAATCTGTCTTGGAAGAAGTACAACCAGAATGCTCCTAGAAGCAAGGATGGTGAGACTTCGTCTCACATCCTTTGGACATGTTATTATTATTTCCAGTCCCTGGAAAAATAGCATCACACTTGGTTCACTGGGGCAGCGACAAGAAGGAAGATCTCCAACCGGATGGACTGACAAAGTGGCTGCAACAATGGGCTCAACTATAAGACGAATGATGAGGATGGTGCAGGGCCAGGCAGAGTGTTTCATTCCATTGTTCACAGGGTTGTTAGGACACAGAACCAACTCAACAGTAACAACACTTGTTGCTATCTAACATTTTCATAATCAAGCCAGATGTCATTTCCTTCAGGATGGAGTCAATGTTTAAGTTTGCTTAAGAGACAAAGCACATTTTGAGTCAATTAAAAGATTGACAGGGGTAAAAAACCCTCTGTTGACTAACTTCAAAATCAGAAGAATAAGGATTTTGCAGCAAATAATCTGAAGGGGCCTTGAATGCATTGGTTGGGGTAGAATAGAGGGAGGTTTCTGGAGGTGTGGCAGCAAGGCCACCCTTGCTTTGCATCATGTTAACGTGGCAGCAGCAGACACAATGGTCAGGCTCTTGAATGGAAAGAAAGGCCATCATCCAGTCTGGGAAAAGCTTGTGTCTGGAATCAGAAGTCAGAGTTTGAATTCTGGTTCACCTCTTACTATCTATCTTATTTCCCCTTCCGCTTGCTTTGTTTTCCACCTACCAGCACCTCCATCACCACCAGCAGCCCTGGGTGCTAGTGTCTCCCCTGTAAGATGGTTCTAGCCTGTCCTATAGGAGCGCAGTGAGTCAGAAACACCACCAGCCAGGGATTTTCTCCCATGGAGCAGCTGGTTGCAACCTCCAACCTTTGGGTTAGCAGCCAAGCCTCTTGCCATTGTCCCCTTAAGGCTTCTTAACTCACAGGCAATGCTCCCCCAACTAGTAAGGGTGAACCAGGTTCCATCCAATGTAGTCTGTCCACAGAGGAGCCCTAATGATGTAGTGGTTTCACATTAAGCTGCTAACCACAAGGTCAGCAGTTCAAAACCCCCAGAAGCTCCATGGGAGAACGACAAGGTTTTCTATTCCTTTAAAGTGTTACAGTCTTGGAAACCCACACGGGCAGTTCTACCTGTGCTATAGAGGGTCACCGTGAGTCACAGTCAACTCAATGGGAGTTGAGTTTGGTTTAGGTTTGGAGTCTGTCCACTGATCTTGAAGAGATATTAGTACTATTTGTCAAACATTTCCAGATTTCAGGATGATGGTGATATTGAATCCCCCGATTCCTTCAAAATTTGGCTTTGGCCAATGAAATGTGAGACTAAGCCACCTTCAGCACGTATATGTGCGAGTTAAACACTCCATACATCTTGCCACCTGCTCATCCTCTCCAGGACCTGTACAGATGGAGCCTCCCTTGCCCCAGTGGTGAACAGGGCTCCTCTGTGACCCGTATGGAACAAGGACAGTAGCATAAGTGACTGATTGATTGATTGGGCCATTGAGATTTGAGGGTTGTTTGTTACAGTGACATCACCCAGCCTTTTCTGACAGATACAAGGATCCATGTGCTTTACAAATCTCTCAAATCTACTCAACAAGAAAACACATTCAGTCCTATATTTGCACAGCTCAGAGCTAACAATAACTTGTAGAAATTACAGGTTGGCAGATTTAGGCTTAATTTGAAAGGCAAAAACCAACAACAACAAAGTTTTCCACGAGTCACTTCATGAAGTAGTGAGCAGTGGCAGTATTTAAGGAAAGGCAAAATTTACATATCAAAATAGATGGCTTAATTGGGGGCATGAATAGAATAAACATTTATCCAGCACCAAAATGGGCAAAGCATATTTGCCAAAGATAAACCCAAACACACCATCTCTAAACTCACTACCTGGTATAAAACTAGATAACCTCTGTGGTCTCTTCTTGCAGTGATTCAACCAAACTGAAGATAATAACATAGCCTGGAAGACGCTGACAGCCAGCTGAACTTACAAATAAGCAAGTAGCCCTGGAAATCCTGCTGATGCTTAGGTTGTATGATTATTTTCCAATTAGGAGCCTAAAGTACGGGGTTTGCATAAGAGAGGAAAGCAGGAGAATTGCTGGGTTTAAAGAGGGAACATATTTCCTTTCTCCTGTTACCATTCTTAAATCTTGCAAAGCAGGCAAATTATCTGACTTACATCAGGGGTGTTCCTGCAGAGGGAAGCACACTGACTCACAGCAATTGTTACTGACCTTTTCCATCACTTCTCCCGCCTTTTAGAGTCAGGAAGGGAACATTTCAAGACGGAACAAGTCAGACCTGAAGAGAGGGCAATCATCTTTGCCGAAGGCCCGATTCTTTAGTTTAAAAACTAACTTACCTTCTTCCTAAATATCACAAATCTTTAAAAGGGCCTCCGATGAGGGCCAAGAGGCAGTCCATTTTCCTAAGGATAATGTGAAAATTACAAACGAAAATTGTAACCGCCGGAAACAACAGCATTTTTTTCTTTCAAATGGCTTCTTTAAAAAAATAGCACCACTGTCAATAAGTGCTTAACTTGGTGGCAGCCATCATGGTTTAAGGGTTTGTTTAAAAAAAAAGAAAAACACAAAAAACTTTCGAAAATTAAACAACGGACAGAAGTGTTGTCCTTTCGGAGGTCCACTGTCACATAATGGAAAAACAACTAAAATCTGGATAAACACTAACTGTCATTGTTCTGAGGCTGATCTTTCCATTTCAGGTTATTATTCATCACCGTGTCAGCGCAGAATAATATACGCAGACAGACTTCACAGCCATTGCCTGGACAAGAGTGGCGGCCCCTGATGACCATTGTTCACCAACTCAGAAGTATCCGTTTGAACTGTGAATCCTCCAGCCCCGTTCCAAGCCCTGAATTTTCTGCACACCCCCTGATTTTTCACAGAGAAGTAGACGGGGGCCAGCTGGAGTTACATACCTTCAGAAGAGGGTGACACGAGTTTCTCTAAAAGTACACCGACAGAAGGACCTGCCTTTGGCACAGGGCAGGAGAAGCGGAGAATTTTCTCATTTAATGTGCATCCTTCCTGCTCCTGTCTATTTTCCAAATGACACAGAGCCTCTTCCCAAGGCAGCTGCCTCCCGCTGGGACGCCCCAGGCCAGTACAAAGACGTACCCTTTACAAACCCTTTACAAACACAGATGGTCAGCGACCCACAAGGACTGCAGCGCTGCCTAGAGATTTGGTGTCTAGTCTAGTGACTGAGCACCCAAAAGTTTCAGGGGCAATGCTGAGGGGTGAAGCGCTGAGAGGGGAGACTGCATGGCCCATCCTGTACTTTCCACCGGTCCCAGGGAGATGGCCAAGTTTCCCCAGCATCGGTTTGCCCTCTGCCCTAGTGCCCAGGGCTGAGTATTCATCCAGGGCCAGACGGGGAGACAATTGTCCTGGTTACTCAGCGGCAGAGAAGGGACGGGAATCACGGCGCCTTCCCGGGCTGGCCGGCCGGACACACCCACCCAGAACGGCGGATCTAGGGGTGCGCCTGGAGTCCGGGGGCGACGGACCCTGTGCCTGGCTCATCCACCCTCGCCCCGCGGCACGGGGATGCTGCCACTGGGCACACGGGGTCGGAGCTCACGGCGCGCTCGGCGGAGGATGTCTCTTTTCCCTCCTCCTCCCAGTCGCCCACCCGGTGCAAAGTGAGCGGGAGAAAGTTGTGCGGGGCCATGGCGCCCAGGGCTGAGAAATGCAGCCCCCGGCCCCCCGCCCGGCCGACTGAGCCCCCTTACCTTGTCTTTGGGGCCGAGGTTTTGCAGCACCTCCTTGCCCGTGGCACTCCGGATCTCCACCCCGGCGGGCGCCGGCGAAGCGGGCGCGGGATCCCGGCTCTCCTCCAGGCCTGGGCCCCTGCGCGCCGGGTCCCCCTCGGCGCCCGCTTGGGGCCCAGGGCCGCGGGCGCTGCTCTGGCTGCTCCGGGGGGTCTTCGCGCCCCGCTGCCCCACGCTCAGGGCATCGAAATCCAGCGTCTTGCTCTCGTAGGCGCCCTCCACGTTGCAGAACATGCCGCCGTACTTCTGCCGCGGGACTTGGTCCGTGGTGCCGGGCCGGGCGAGGTAGACGGGCAGGTCGTCTTCGTGGGAGCTGTCCCAGCCCCTGCGGCCCGAGGCCATGGCGGGAGCGCGGCCGCGGCCGGCGGCTTTCTTCCCCACAGGC